GCAAGCTTGAAAATATTGCATTAAAACCCTCAGCTCAGCATCAATACATGGAGGTGCCTGCTGAAAAGAGGGAGAACTTGATCAACTCCATCTCCTGTGATAGAGTACCATTCACCTGGGTCATTCAGCAAGGTTTCTCATGCCTTCCAGAAGTCGTTCAAGAAACAGAAGTTGCACTATGGGTTTTTGTAAATCCTTTTGCCACTAACGGTACCACTGTTAAACAAATCTTTTGAGGTAGCATGTGAAGGTTGGGACTAATTTGCCTTTGCCTGTGGTTAAGTAATACAAACTGCTTCCCTGGACTCAGAATAATAGACTGAAATATTCCCATTTCCTGCAGATGAGTGAAAATAAACAGATCCAATCTCAGCTGAAAGAATGTAAGTAGAACAGGCCTTCATTTGTAGGGGAAAATAAACTCTGCTGATCCCGTAGGTCTGGGACTATAAACAGCATCCTTTTTCTCCCAGGGCAATGAATAATGTGAGTGCATGGTTTGAACATCCTCAAAATAAACAGCTAATCACCCTTTCTGGCCTAATTAGGTTATGTTCTGGCCCCTGGCTCTAGGTCTCATGCAGAGCAGCACTGAGGGAAGCCCTGCTCTCCTCCCGAGAAAGAGAGCCTGTCCAACTCTGTTGGTTAGTTAACATTTGCTCCTCGAGGATATCCAGCTTGAGGATCTTCCTTGCAAGCTTGCAGATCCAAGGGCAAGAATATTCTCATGGCTTTCCACGGAGAACAAATGTAACCCTTTCTTCCTCTCTTTGCTCATCCCACAGATGCAATGGGAGGACAAGCAAATCAGGTTTTTTCATTGTTTTTCCTGGATGTGGATTATCTGCCTCTTTGTTGTGTATCAGCAAACTGTAACTTGCTAGATTTGTCATATGGACGTTTATTCACTCTTTCCAGAAAGGTGATTTATCAGCAGTTGGTGTCCACTGCAAATGGTAACTAATCAATCCATAAGGATTGTACAGGACCCCTATTATTGCTGTGGCATTGCAGACAAGGCACTGGAGCACAGATGTGTTGTAAAATTTGCCCAAGCTGACACTGTGCAAGGAAAGAGCTGGGAGTGCAGCAGGTGCTGATTGAAGCTCACAGGCTGGACCCTGCACTGCTGAGTCCTTGGCAGGGCTGCTGTGAGTGCTGGTGCACTTCAGCTGCTGCCCTGTGATTAGGAGCAAAGAGAATTAATGCAGGAAGAGATCTGTGGCAAAGGCCAAGTGGACTTTTAAGCTCTGGTTTATCAAGGCTTTCTGGGCTGCAGCATAGGGCCTGTAAGAGGAGAAATAGCTGACCAGATTCAGAGCATTACCATATCTGCACTTTTCTAGATTTCTCTTTAGGTGTGCTTAGATCTTGGAATATGTTCCCATTTTTCACTGCTCTTTTAAAATAATTGTTCTTCTGTAACAAAACCACCTTTAATCCTCCTTTCAAAGCTTCCTTTCATGTTAAGAACAGCTAAAGGTGCTAAGAGGACTGTTTAAACCATAATTCCTAGAGGTGCTAATTTTCTCTCCTCTCCTTTCTGATCGAGGCTTGCAGTGGGGCCAGGGCAGGACTCCTGAGGATCCCAGCAGGGCTGAACTTTTCCAAGACAATGTCTATAGGTGGATACCACCCTGGTCACGGCCAGATCCGTTTCTTCTTATCCTTGCTTCTAATCCACTGGCTGCGGGAAGCAGCATCATGTGTCAGTTCTGAAGTCACAGACCCTTTTTTAGTGCCCTTTCTCCAGATTGAGGAGTGCTTGGCACAGACCCTAGATCTGAAACTCAGATCTCTGAGCATCTCAGGTCTATCTCCCCTCACAGCTTTCTTGCCTGTGACTGCCTTTTAGGAATAACAAGCCAAGGAAGATAAGAACAGCTGAGCAAAGACGTTCCTGAGCCACAGGCATTAAATTCTCTAGGACGTCCTTAGAAATAAGTGCCTGGTCCCACTTCTCTGTAAGCAGTGTATTTGTTATCTGGGGGGGGCCAGGTGAGACACTGCTGCTGCCCTTGGCAGCCAAACCATTCCTACCCCCTCCCCAAATACATTTCCTCACATTCACCAAGGAATTGCATCACCATCCCCAGCTGGGACTTGCTGCAGAACAATTTCTAGGTCTGGGGCAGCGGTGGAAAGGGAGACAGAGCCGTGATTACCCCATGGTGAGGGTTCCTTGGGGGAGAGGGCAGGGCAGGAGAGACAAGGGTGCAACAGCACAAAGAGAGTTCAGTGTTTAATAGACACATTTCACATTGTCACAGCATCTTTGCAAGAGCTTGGCTCCCAGTTTTGGTATCTGAACAAGTGACAGACTTCATGGAGGGGCTGTGACAGGGAGGCCTCTCCCCTTGAGCCGTGCTCTCAGGAATCTTGATGACGGATGCAAACCACTTAGACCCAAATTAAGAAAAGTATATTTAGGCACCTAGAGAAGTAAAGAGGCACTTAATAGGATTTTCAGAAGTGTATAAGCAGATTAGGCATCCAGCTTCTATTGAAATCAATGCTGATGGAGCATTTAAAAAAAAAAAATATCTTGAGGTATCTCAGCACTGTTACAGCCTGGGTGCATTTGCAGGGGGTGAGTGGGCTCAGAACCATGTTTTGTTCAAGATAAGCCTTACAAATAACAGAGCTCCCTGGTTGTACCAAGTCTCCAAAACCATGGGAGCAAGTCCTTAAGGTCCCACAAAAGCTGAATTATGTGGGCCTGTGAGGATAAAAGAGCAAGCCCGGGAGAGAGAGGTAATGATCCCTGTGTGCCTGCCAGAGAAGGAGCACAACTTCCATAGAGACAGAGAAAGAAAGTAACACAAAAACAAGGAGACAGAGCAATCACTGGATCTTGGCTCAAGAAAAGGCCTTGCTCCAGGTTTTTTTGGTTACAGAGATGGCCAGGAGGGACTAGGTGAAACAAATGCTGTCTGTTTGATTTTGTCGGGGAAGCAGCACTTTTGCAGTCCTTGTAAATAAATGCATTTGACCCAAAGAATCATCATCTTCTGTGGCCAGTTTCTCCCTTGGGTAGAAAGTACTTGTCAGGACCTGGATTTTGCCTCGCTCTGTGATTTACACGTGGAGTATAATTTCTGCAAAGTCAGTTCCCTGCTTTCTCTGAAACCCAGCTCCCAGTCTGTAGAGCTGAAATCAGTCCTTTTTTGCTTTACTGAGCAGGAGTGATGATACATACATTAAGGACTGTGAGGCACTGTGGTAACTGGGGCCAATTAGCTGCTACCCGAGGGCAGTAGCTCCCAGATGTGGGATATCAGACAACTGCAAACCTACAGAACTGCTAGCAGATCACTCATTATTCTCCTCCAGAGACTTTTAATTGGGGAATTAACACATGGTATTTTTAGTGAGTGTCCTCAGAACATTTATCCTCTTCTGTGGCATGCCAGTCCCTCAGGGAACACTATTTGGGAAGCAACCATTGCTCGAGGTGACAGGGAGGAGTTATCTCCTCTGAAATCCCTGTTGGCATGAGTGGCTGATACAGACAGCAGGCAATGGATATACTTGCCATAACTGCATTCCCAAACATGTGAATAACATTAAATAAATGAAGAAATCCCAGGTACCACATAGGCTGCTGACTCCAGCCTTGTGCTGGGGGTTTCTGAACTGAACGTGGCTAAAAACCTCTGCTACAAAAAAGCCCAAAGGAAATGACATGCTGGAGAATTCAGGATGGTTATTAATGTGAAATCTGCTAGAAGAGTCAGGTGAGAGGGAGGTGATTTGTGGGCCAGGAGACAACATTCAGCTGGGAAAGTCCTAGTTGTAGCCAAGAAACCTAAAGATAGGGAAGAAGACTTCTCTGTGTTACACCTTACTCGATCAACACCATTAAATACTGGTAGGGCCAAGTTTCTAGATACTGCTCAGAGAAAGGAATTTCTCTGGGCTTCTGTCCTTTTGGTTTCCAACACTTTTCCTGTAAAAGTTAGACCCTTCTGACCTGACTACACTGATGGAATATCTGAGGCACTGCAGTTCCTTACCTATGTGGAAAGAAAGCAGGAAGAAACCTTGATAGGCAATGCATGCCTATATTTACTTATTATATTTTCTCTGGGTTTTAAGTGCTGAATTATTGGTGTTATGCTAATAAAATCCATTTAAGCTCAAGGAACAGTCTCTCATTTAAAGAGAAGTGATTTTGGCAATTTGCCAGCAGGCTAGCAGGATATTAATCAGACAGTACCTAGGGACCAACACCACTATATTGCTTTTAATCTTTTGACCGATAAGGAAAACAGGAAGAAATCCATTTCCCTCCTTTCTTTGCTCAATGGGATAACCAGCTGGTACAGACTAGCTGCAGCTCAGCTCAATTTGGGAGTAAATATTTGGTTTTTAGCTGGGTAAATGAGAGAGCAGTGCTGCTTTCCCCCCCAGCTGTCATGCAGGCGGGTGCCATTCATGGTCACAGCGGGGCCCTGCAGGGCTTTGGATCCCTGAGTCATGTGTTAATAACAGAATGTCACCTTGCATGGGAGAAGTGTATGGCTTTGCTCAGATGTGCCTAGAAAGGGAAAGTTTGTTTGGCTGTGCCAGACAGTCATTTGAGGTGATGACCCCAGATGGTGTTTGGGACCAGAATTTCAGCCTGTACAGTGACTGTGACAGAGCTGCCCCAGGGAGGAGAGCAGGAGGCTTCTAAAGCAGTGACTCCACTGAGCACAGAGCAGAGACCACACTGTGGCTGGGGATAGTGGTTTGTTTGTCCCCAGCTGCAAACACATGGAGAAGAGCAAGAAATGTGTTACATTTCCATGTTCTTGAAGGACTACCCTTTGTAGCCAGTGGAGATGCCTTCCTTGAACCTGTGGGCAGTCCTGCTCTGTGTATGTGTCCTGTAGAAACCTTTGGGGTCTCTTTGGTGGAGTTTAGACCTGGTCTTGCCTTGTTTCTGTGTGCTCAGATGAGGAACAAAAATGAATTACACAGATCTTTAAGGCAAATTCTGTATTTTTTTAACACAGGCCTTTCTGACCAGCAGCAAAAGACTGAAGAGTGAAAGCACTTTAATATTGTAGAGCACCTACATGGAGACAAGTGGATCAGTTCTCCTGCATGAGTGTCCTTTTCTTAGACTCCTGGGGGAAGGAAGAGTCCATCCCACAGATGCTCCTGGTGGGACATTTGTTTCTCCCAGGGGCATAGCCCATCAAATCAGCACTGCCAGCTTGCTGCAGAAGGTGGGGCCAGCAGTCTGGAGCAAACTTGTCCTGCAGCAGCCCTGAAAAAGGAGCAAGCCATCTAAAAAGAAAAGACATCATTAAATTTCCTTTCCACGTGGTGAATGAAGAAGCTTTTACCTGGGGAAGAAAGGAAAAGTGTTCTTTTTGTTAACTTCATCCAGAGAGAAAGAAAATCTTTGAGGTATTTTCTGGCACGTGGCTCCTGTTAAGTTTCAGCCAGCTGAGCTGTTCCCAAAAGCACTGGAATGTAATTTCAGCAATAATCAATCAGCAGAAATGGAGGCAGTGAGGGTGTGAGGGTGTTCTGTTTCACAGAAGTCCTGGGTAAAAACCCATTCACTGTGTCTAAGAACATAGATTTAACAAACATGAATCTGGAGTGCTGAATTCCTGGAACCTCTCTTTACCCTGAATGATGGAAAATTGGAGCCATTGCTGGATGGGGGATGGTGCTTTTCAACTCCAATTTCAGTCAATTGACTCAAATTCATTTGTAAACCTTTGGCACTCCTGCTGAAAAAAATTTAATTTCCCACCTTTTTTTTTTTTTTAATTTATTGCTCAGAATGTGTAAGTACTAAATTAGACATAGAGCTTTTGGTGTAAGCCAGCATAATCCTTTTACCACTGAATCATTCTGTTATATAGTATTTTGACCGCTCTGTGTGTGTGTGAAATTGCTGTCTAAAATGTATTGCTTAAAATTGGTATTTGCCTGTTTTGGACAAATCTGTTAGAAAATTCTAAAAGGAAATCATGCAGAATAAAGAAACCTACTCTTTAGTCTCTTGGGTGGGAAACTCTTGAGTTCTGCACAGTTTCAAAGTGCTTTTGAAAGAGCTGAAATGGTTCAGTGTCACACTAAAATGGTGAGATTTTTTTGTAGGCTAGTTAAATTATTTTCACGGGACAAAGAAATCCCTTACACAGTTCTGTATTTGCAAAGGAAGGAGTAGTGTGCTTGCACTGTACTGGGATCATGGAAGCACGCTGCCTTGAGCAAGCTGAGCTTGGTCCACGCCAGCACAAAGTAATGACTGATGTTTTGATGAGAATTCAGTGACATGGAACAAGGGTTGATATTCTGCCATGGTCTAAAGAGTAGATCCCAGCAGTGAAGACAAAAAAAAAACCCCAAATGTCAAAAAAAACCAAGAAAAAAAGATAAAAATTCAGCATTTTTGGAAGTGTTCTGCTTTTCCCGAACTCTCACTGAGATTACAAGAAGGAACTTAAGGGCAGAGGTTGGTGTTTATGGAGCTGGAGGTATCTTCTCTCTGCAAAGTGAAGAGGAGCTCTAAAATCTGCTGAGAAGATTCCCTTTGCCTTTCAGTCTTCAGACCAATCCATATATGAAGGAATTACTTTATTCCTACCTCTGGTAGGAAGTCCACTGAGAAGCCTGTGAGAGAGCTTGAAGTCATTCTGTTAGTACTTGTGTGTATTCAGCTCTGGAAAGAGAAGTTCTATGTTGTCTCCTAAGAACAAAAGCCCTTAAGAGATGTGGCACTCCACATGACGTGATTTGCCTATACTGTAATTTTCTTCTTCTGAACGAGGCCAGGGAAGAGCTTCCTGTTACATTTCAGGGAAGTTAGGTGATGTACAGAGTGAAAATGTCAAATAATGGTGTTCAAGTGTATAGCAACCAAGTCAACATTAATAAAAGTTCACTGTCTTTCTAAAATGATCCTATACATTAGCGTCAAATGCTCTAGGACTTATAATGAAAGAAGACAGCATGTATTCAAGGCAATGAAATGAAGCTAATTAAAATGTCAGATAACACAAGTTTAGATTGTTTGAAATAGACCTTTTTGTAATATAGTGAGATCTTCATCAGAAGGCCACAAACTTAACTTTTTAATAAAAAAATAATCTTAATAATTTTTTGCATCAAGTCTGACCTCTGCTGCCTACAAATTTGGATTGATGTATCAAAGTACATATTGTCTTTAATGTTCCTGTCAAACCTGAGCTGTGATGCGTGGATTTATTCCCTACTTGGAGAGATGCTTCTGTGAAACTTGGCTAATAAAAACGTGACACAGCCGGTGACTGATGCCTGTTCTCTCAGGGCGTGTGAGCGTGGGACAAACACTGCACACACATCCTCTACTTGACACTGAAAAATGAGACACATCTAGTAAAAAACATAATATATGCTCTAACGGTCTTGCAGTGACCTTCTCGTTGTCTTTCTCCCTCCTCACATACCTTTCTCACTTCTCAACTCTTTCCCTTCCTTCCCTTGCAGGCTCTCAGCCTGCAATTTATCTTGCAGCGAGGTCTCTGCTGCCTCTGAACGTGTCATACGCTTGCGCACAGGCCCTGGCAGGGTCTGGCCTTCCTCTGTGGGAGATCTCAGGCTGCTCTTTGCCAACTTGGACTGTGAGCGGACAAAGGAAAAAGCTTTTCCTCGTAAAATAAAGATATACTTAAAAAAAAAAAAAAAAAAGAAACAAACCTCGGCAACGAATCCAAAATCCCAGCTCTAGCAACCTGGTAATTTGTCAGTGCCAGGCGTCAGCCCACTATTAGTCTTTTTCTGGATAGAGATGACAGAACTCTGTTGACAAGCTGTAGGACTTATTTCAGGAGCTGGCACCTGGCTCCCTGGCACGTCCCCCTGACGGCTGTGTCACGCTCCTTGGAGCTGCCTTTGGCTCTGCAGAAGTTGCTGCCTGGCGCTCCCAGCCTGCCTGGTTGGGAACTTGCTGTTTATTTCCATAATTACACGTCCATGCACCACTGTCCCCGGGCCTGTCTAACACTGAGCAGAGCTTGTCGTGCCGGTAGAATCGGTGCCCCAGCTCTCACATACCCTTTCACGAGGGGGAGGCTTCTCACCTTTCCCCAGAGGGGCTTTGGCCTCTCTCTTAGCCTCCCTCTCCTCCTGCATCCCTCCACTGTGATTCCTCTGAGCTGTTTACTCTCGGCCTTGCTCTGTGTCACAGGATGCCTCCCCAGGCTGTGAGTCTGCTCTGTCCCTTCCCACAGAAGGCCACGGCATCTGATCTGGAGCTTTCCTGCTCCTGCTGCAAGAAAATATTTAGCATTTTAATATATTTTCACATTTTTAGAAGTAATTTATGTATGAACATACACAGTGCTTAGTAATCATTTCTCGGATGAATGTGGAATTTTTCTAAAATTAAACTATCATTCTTTTCTCTTCACACTTGGCTGTCATATCTTTCTTAATGCAAATCAGTCATTGACTAGAGACACCTACTGTAAGAAGCTATTTTAGCTGTCTGATCAGTTATAAATTGATTTTAAAAGTGAAGACCGTTTTGGGGAGATAAGCTGGGATTGGTAGGGAATGGAAAAAATAATTCAAAGGGGAAGTTTTTATTTGAATGCAAGTGACTATTTACGTCTATCTCAGAGCAAAGACTGTAATCCAAGGGTCCTATCTCTCTTTCCTGCTGCTTTAAATCTTAGACCACAAATCCCTCCCCCTCCCTGGCCCTGTGCAATGTAGAGCCCTTGAGGACCAGGGACTTGTACCCTAAGGAAAACATATTTCCCCTTTCAGTCTCCATTTGATACCAGGCCAAAGGAAAAGGGAACATTATCTCTGAAGGAGCCAGGCTACTCTTCTGCTCTGAAGCAAGTCCCTTAGCGCAGGAATGAAAAGGAATCCATTATGGTTAGTTTCAGAGAAACCTCTCTTCACTGCAGCATTTCCCCCTGCTATGCTTCAAGTGCTCTTCAGAGGGAATATTCCCATTTTCCAGGCAAAGAAAATGGCTTTGCTAACACAGCAGTGGTCTGCACAAAGCAAGAGCAAAGCAGAGAAGGTTCACTGAATGCAACTTGGGAAGTTGGAAAAAATGAGAACTGTTTTCTGGTTTTATTTTTTTCTGCTCTTTATTCTTCAGGGTCAGCTCTGATGTTGTCTGCTGGGGCTTGAACAAGGAGCTTAATTTTTAAGGCATGTCTGACTTTTCTCTTCGGAATTTTTTTCTGTTGCTTGCACTGCTGGTTCTTTGTATATAATTAAAAGTATGTAAACAGTGGCTGAGTTTTTAACTTAATTCAGTTTGAGTGAACATGCTTACTAACTTCAAGGTTTGCATGTTATGCCTATAGGAACAATAGTTATCCTGGCATAAATATTGGGCAAGAGCAAATTTTGAAGCCACATAGATGAATAAACATAGAAAGCAACTACCTGCAAGTACTTCTGTGCTTTCCTGATTTGTTAAACCTTTTCTTTTTCCCTAGCAAATTACAGCTATGCAACACTGTTCAGATTTTGATTATTTATAAACAATCCACCTTGTCAAAGCTTCTGAATACTGTTAGTCAAATCCATTTGAATAAACAAATACATGTAACAGTTGCAGCATGTTTATAGATATTCAGAGAGCAGAAAAGGAACCTAATAAATCAAATCAATTACAAATCGCCTGTTTCTTGCACAGCTCTGTCGTCCCCTGAACACTTGTAACTGGGAGCTCAAAGCTGAACATTCTTACTTTGTGAAGTTTAAAGGGGCATGTTTTTTCAGTGCCCAGACTTGCGGTTTCTCAGATGTGTACAGGATTTTCTAACACGCTCCATTTAATACAGAATTCAGGGCAGTTGTTATAATCCTCCTTGAGTTAGAAACAGAGTCCTGGATCAGATTGCAGTTCTGGAGTGAGGCCAGCTGCTGAAGAAAGTGATTTCTTCCGCCCCTCACCTTTCATGTATTAAAAGATACCCCTCGCTTGGCTCCCGAGGAAGCTCCCTGGGAACCCAGCACTGCAGCTGCAGCAGAGGGAAGGTGTGATGCCTTTGGCAAGGCTGTGTGGCACAGCCCGGAGCCACCCTGTCCTACCACCCCAAAAAGGGAAAGCACCTCCCCGTTCTTTCTGACAGATCTTCTCATCAGCTGAGCTCAAAGCCTTATGCCATCTGTTTGCATCTTTGTTGCAACCTGTGAGAGCCTGTTTCATTTGGAATTCGGCTGCAGTGCCTCAGCTACAAGTGAATGCAAATACACGACTTCAGTGTAGTGGCGTAGGAGCAGTTGCAGCCTAAGGGCCCATCTCCCACTGTCCTGCTTTGTAGCAACAACCAGTGGGATGAGGAGGTTGGCCCTGCTGGTTTCCACTGCATCAGGAGACTGATGTGCTACTTACAGCCAGAGATGGAAGGACGACCTTGATCTGTAGCTGTGCACTGTCCTGAGAGGCAGGAGCCAAAGCAGCGCTACAGCCCACACCCTTGGGGCACAGCATGGTCAGCTGTGCCACTTACAGACTTCCCATAACACCGCTGTCAGGCAGGTTGAGACTGTCTCGTGGGTACTCTGTGGGCACAGGGAGTCTCTAGATGCAGTACTGCAAAGCACTTGAGCTCTTTCGTGTGTCTTCCAAGACAGGACTGCTCTTGTGTGGCCACCTCTGCTTCAGGATCTTGCTACTTCTGTCTTGGGAGAATGTGACATACGCTATGAACGTGCTCCTTGTGACCTGGGACCGTGAAAACCTCATGCATGGAGGCCTGCCAAGGCACCTGCCTGCAGCCTCCTCTGCCTGGCTCGGCTGAGTGGTTCGAGCTGATGGTTTGGAACGGGTGGATGTGAGTCCTCAGGTCACACATGGCACTGTTCCACGCTGAGCCCGACCTCTGCCTCTCTGCCATTGGTTTATTCTTGGCTGGTAATTTGGAGACCAGGAAATCTGTGTGACTGCAGTGATGGGTCTGCAACTCCAGTTCTGTTGCTGCAGCCAGGCCCTCACATAGACATGCACACACACACACACACACATATACACATATATGCATACGTATTGTATACTCTGGTCTCCCCAGAAGCTTGTGCAGACCTATGGCCATGCCAGTATCTGACTACCCTGGTCTCCCTCTGGTATCCAGCCCCTGACCTATGGTCTCCCTGACTGTCTCCCAGACCCCTTATCCTACATGCATTCTTGCAGGACCGCTCTTCCCTAGGGAAGACAGACACAGACAAACACACACAGATTTCTCCAGTTACTGGCACCCAAACTCATGGCCCCTCTGATCCACTGCTCAAATCCAGCTGATGCATGCACCCCCCATACACACACAGCCATGCACACAGAACAAGGTCCCTCACCCAGAAAAGAAGTTAAAAATGCAGTTTAACAAGGAGACTGTGGTGATCAGGGCATGACCAAACATGCACATTGACCAACAGCCTGCTTACATGCACTTATCTCTGTATTTTCCACAAGTGTTCCTTTGCAATTAACCTTCATCCTCCCATTCTCGCCTTTGGTCTTTACCCTTAGTATCCCATAAGTATCACACGTTCCCACTAACCCCTTAAAGACACCCTGCAGTAAGTTTTATGCCACTTCCCAAATGCCCATCCCATAATGAGTCCTAAACACCTGCAGGCAGTTACCCTGCTCAGTCTGCAAGGCTGTCTGATGAGAGCAACTCCTGCAGACTCCTCCAACACTGGAGTTGGAGGATATTCCCAGGGACTGGGAATATCCAGGACTAGCTGCTATAGGGCTTCATCTGCTTGGTACTGTCTTCTGCCCATCTCCAGGCCTTTGTGTTTATGGTGATTGTCCCTTCATCACATAAACTAACAGTTCTCACCACTGTAAACATTGATGGCTCTCAGAAGAGTAATCTCTGAGTTTATACTATTAAGTGTCAGCAGATCCACAGTTTGATCTTCAGAAATTGCGTGACTCCTGTATCTTCTGTGCTCTTGTAATAGACTGCTTCAGTCAATACAGTTTTAATAGTCACATCTGGAAGAAATAATTTCCTAAAGCACATTTACTGCTATTTTTCAGGAAGTCACGTTATGAGGATAATGAAGAATGTGAGCTGCATTTAAATACGAAGCAGGCTGGGACATCATGTGTCTCATTCAGTAACTCAGGAGAGGAAGACAATCCCTTTCTCCTGGTAGACAACCTACCATGGATTTCTCAGTAACATGTTGTGCTGCTGCTTCCTTCTGTGTGCAGGACACTGCGTGTGAGAATGCTGAGAGCCTTCAGAAGGTGGTTGGGAGGGATACCTGATACTGTGCTGCCATCTGTAAAACTATATCCAGAAAATCTAAGACTATATGCAAAAACCCTGTATTTTATTGCTGTGAGATGTAAACAGGGGACACTCGATGTCAGGGGCAGCCTGCAGGGCTAGGGATGGGATGGATCCTCTCAGGTTGCAGATGAGCAGAGCGCAGCAGAGCCCAGCAGGGGTGTAGTGCATGCAGAGGAGCACCTGGTAAAGACATTAATTTGTTGTCAAATTAAAAGCGATCCAGCAGTAAGTCACTGTTGTGCAAACCACCTGCCCTCTGCCATCTCTGCTGCAATAGGCAGGGATGTGAGGTACCAACAGCTCTGGAAATATTGAAGCTGCCAACATAAATGTTTTTGATTAAACTCCGTGCAAAGGCCGTTTGCATAAACACACAGGGTACACAGAGACATACCCAGGATGGTGACTTCAAAACCATTTGCAATCTTCTATTTACTCTCAGAGACATGTTTGTGAGGAATATGTGTAGAATTTGGCACCATGGCTTGAGGCTTTATCCAGCAGCTGCTGGAGGGATGGCACAATACCTGCGTTGCCAGGCTTGACACAGTTAGAGATGAAGCATTTCTTTAGATTAGCATGGAATTA